CGTTTTTTATATTTAAAGAATTTGCCACTGACGATTCAAACGAGAGTTTTTTGGGCAGTGTAGAGTAGCACGTGTTGTTTGTAATTTCTCCGATCACAAATGTTTTTTGTGGTTTTATGTTACGCTCCGGCCTGACAAGTGTTTGTTGAATTATACAGCGATAGCTTGAGGAAATGTTGAAAAAGGGGATTACTGAGGATTGAGAGTTTATTGACTGTAAAAAGAAAAACTTTTATGCTTTTGTGTTCTCAGAGGATGAATTCAAATCCTTTGCCCTCTGATATTATTACATTAGATGTGTAATTATGGGAATTTTTAATACAAAATGCCAGAGAGCAGAAGGCCGGATAGGTCTTTATTTGGGTTAAATGGATTTATTGCCTTATTTTGACGATAGTGATCAAATTGACCCATAGTTTATGGTGGCATCTCTCTTCCTATTTAATAATTAGTGGTCTAGTGGTGTGACTCTCGCAGAAAAAAACTTTTAAAAAGATATTTTATTTAGTAGCTGAGCAGCATTTGTCTGCATTTTATTTTATAATTTAACTTACTGGTTAATGTTATGAATCTTGCAGGAAAAACTGACTTTTTAAAAATATAATTATTTTTATTTTATAGTTTTTTGTGTTTTGTTTTGTTTTGTTGTGTTTTTTTTGTGTGTTGTGTTTTTTGTTTTGTTTTGTTTTGTGTTGTGTTGTGTTTTGTTTCTGAGGCACATTTGGTTGCAGTTTCTAAAAAGATATTTTATTTAGTAGCTGAGCAGCATTTGTCTGCATTTTATTTTATAATTTAACTTACTGGTTAATGTTATGAATCTTGCAGGAAAAACTGACTTTTTAAAAATATAATTATTTTTATTTTATAGTTTTTTGTGTGTTGTTTTGTTTTGTTTTGTTGTGTTTTTTTGTGTGTTGTGTTTTGTTTTGTTTTGTTTTGTGTTGTGTTGTGTTTTGTTTCTGAGGCACATTTGGTTGCAGTTTCTTTTGTTATAGAACTTGACCAGTGTTTGGTATTTGTATTAAAATTCATTCTTCTTCAAATAAAGCACTCAAAATCCATTGTGTTCTTTGTGCAATAAGCCAAGATGCTTTGATATGAGATCATAACTTCATATTCACACCAGAAAGCAATATTTGCTTATTTTAAAGTGTTATGCAATAAAAGAGGAGTTATCTATCCCGTTTTTATGTATCTTGGCCTCTTGGGTGTTGTCTTATTTGTGTAGCTTTTTTTCATGAAATATTCATAAGTTGCTACTGGTATACTTAATGAAAGTTTGCAATGCATTATGGTTAATCTTTTCCATTGAGTGAACTTTGCAAAAATTCGCTTGGCATCTTATTAGCAACGTAGTTTTTGCGTAAGACGCTGAGAGCATTGAAGCTGTGCTTTTTGCATGTTTTCGAAGTTGTCATGTTTATCAAAAACTCTTGCTTATCAGTCTTACAGTGTCAGATTTAAATTTTCACTCCTCACTGCAGGAGACCGAGTAAATTTGATGTATTTTTCAATGTCAGAGTTTTGTTCAGCGTCATTACTCATGAATCTACTCGACGCAGCTATCTGCACGCATGCGGTGATGTTGCTCAAGTGCTTTGTGGCTAAATGTTTTCTTATTTACAGCTTCAAGAGGTGAAAGCGCAGTCTAGGTGATTGTGTACCGCCGCGCCATCGGGGATGTTTGGATTTAACACCGTTTGTGTAGCTTGACGTGAGGTGCATTTCAAAACAGTTTTGTAACAGAATCCTTCAGAATAATTAAGCCGTGAGCTTCTTTAACCTCCTCCTGTCCTCTTTCTCTAGACAATGAATCTGTCAGTCAGATTTCCCACAGACTCCATTACCCATGATTCTCAGCATCAGACCTGACTATTTACCTTTTCTTTTTTCTTTTCATTTTGACTTTAATTTTAGTTATTGTTTTAGTGTATAGAAACTGTGGCCATGAATTAACAATTCGTTCCCTCATTTAAGAAAATTGCGGCCTCATTGTATTCACTTTTGATTTGAATTAAATCAAAATGAGGGAATGAATTAGCAAAACCACAATTTACTATAAAAAGGAACAAATTAATAATTAATTCTTGTGATTTAACTAAAACAACGAAACAAATTAATGAAATGAGGGAAACAGCTTCTAAATTCGTGGGAATGAATTAATAATTTGTGGCCACAATAAATATATTTTTGTCTATGTCATGTGTTGGGCTTTGTAAAATATGTCTATATAGTATTATTAAAAAAATTTTTCAGTTATTTTAGTACTTTAACTAAACAAAAACAAAACGTGTTGCATTGGCAACTAGCTGAAATAAAATAAGTTTAAGTTTAATATTTTATTTAATTTCACTTAACGTTTATTTCAAGTAATGAATTTTTTCTGGACTTTGTTTTAGTTAATGATAACCCTGGTTGGCACATGTTGCTAAGCTAATGCAATACTTATTATGCACAAACAACATTCCCAACTCACGAGAAAATGTAACTAGTGGTGATTTCGTATGAATCTGTACGATGTGAATCTTATGAAAACACAAGATTTTTAGGAAAAAAACATAAGCATGAAGGCCCATCTATAACCCCACCCCTAAACATAACCGTCATAAGAAACATAAGATCATACGAATTGTGAACACCAATTCACCAAAACGTAAAATAGTTATGAATTGCCAAGCTATTGTGTTGAAGTAGCGTATATTGGGTGAACTGCAACCAGGCACGGCGCCAGAATTTTTTCTCTACCGGTGCTAAGGCGGGGCTAGACCAATATGTGGGGGTGCTAAACCGGGGCTATTCAAAATTCTGACGGGGCTATTGTCCCCCCTAGCCCCGGTGTAGCGCCGTCACTGACTGCAACTATCATCAAAACCTTTCAAGATCAAATGAAATAAAAGTTTTATAATTTGTATCTGTTGACTAATCCACCATTTCACTGAGCTTGTTGCAATGCATTCTAGGATTGGCTTTTGTATAAAGGAGAAATGCAATGGTGCATGTAATTTGGCCAAAATTAGGTATCTTAGAAGGCAGAATACAATTGCTGTCTAAGCAAGCAGGTCACTGGATCTGGAAACGCATCCCTCTTTCTTCCACTGTGATACAAGAGAACCTTTTTTCTAAACTTCCTCTATCTTTATTCTCTTCTCTGCAGATTCCTCAGATCAGCTATGCATCCACAGCTCCGGAGCTGAGCGATAACACCCGCTACGACTTTTTTTCCCGCGTCGTTCCGCCGGATTCCTACCAGGCCCAGGCTATGCTGGATATTGTCACGGCGATGGGCTGGAACTACGTCTCCACGCTGGCTTCTGAAGGGAACTACGGGGAAAGCGGCGTGGAAGCATTCGTGCAGATCTCCAGAGAGATGGGTAAGATGGCTTTTCCAAGATTGGCTTGATGCATTGATGAACTTGAACCAAATGCACGTTTCAAGAAACAAGCTTCTTTCCTCTTTATGTTTTTAGTCCCAGATACTAACCAACAGATTAGTTATGTAGTGCGTGCACTGACTTGACAGAAGACAAGAAACGGAGTGCTTTATTTTGCACAAGTCTTGTAGTGTATGCTTGGCCTTAAAAGGGGTCATATGATGCTATTTTAAAGATCATTATTTTGTGTATTTGGTGTAACAGAATATGTTCACATGCTTTAATGTGCAAAAACCACATTATTTTTCAAATCCTGTACATTATTGTAGGTCATCTATGCCCCGCCTCTCTCACAATAGCAAATGCTTAAACTAATAACAAAACATACTTACAGTTGCTGATTCAGAAGCGCCAGATTGTCATAGCAAAGTCGGAATTGACCCTCTTTTTTTTTTTTTTAGAAATAGCCTTTGTGCACAGCCAGCCTTGTACTCTTCTAGGTTCAAAAAACTGTTGTCCATAAAATGCGTTGCACAAATTCGAACATCTGGGTTGTGCTGTTCTGTTGTAAATAAATCTTAACCAATGATTCCTAATTGCATCTTCCGGAAGGCCTAATAAAGTGCTTTTGCTTTCGCACTGAATCACACAGCGTCTCCCTGACATGGCTGCATCAACACGACTGCTGTTCCTGAAACCACGCCTTCTTTCTTTGCGTGCACATTTGGGTGGCATTATGCTAATATTTCCACATAGTGATGTAGATATGTGGGGGCGTGTTAGAATGAGCCATTTTAGGTAGGCGTGGTTGACTCTTAACTTTTATAAAGAATATCTCTTTGGATTTGAGACTTTAGTCTTTGCAACTTTACGGATCTTCTTTATGCACCAAGAGCTCGTAACACTCCAAAGAGAAAGGAAAACTTGAAATCGCATCATATGACCCCTTTAAAGGAATAGTTCACCCAAAAATGCAAATTTGCAAAAAATGTACTCACCCTCAGGTCATCCAAGATGTAGATGAGTTTCTTCATCCAATTTGGAGAAATGTAGCATTCTATCACTCGCTCACCAGTGGATCCTCTGCAGTGAATGGGTGCCGTCAGAATGAGAGTCCAAACAGCTGATAAAAACATCACAATAATCCACAATGTCCATGTTTCTCTGCGAGTTTGTTGTATTTGGAACAACTTGAAAGTCTGGTATTGTGTAAATGATCCTTATTTGTTCAGTGCCTGTGCCAGTGCCTGTGTATGTTTTTTCTCTGTAACCATTTACAAAGTGGACGAGTGTTTAAAGCCTAGCGTTTTAAAATCTGAATTCCACTCTTGAATAAGCAGGTGAAGCATATTATTATTCTTATCTTGCACATTCTTATCTGCTCAAGATGTACAGAAGTTAAATCCATTTAATTAATTCTCAGTTGTTAAACTAAGGATAAATGGGGATTGTGTCTGTTACGTACTGTAGTGTTTCTGAACGTACTGGGTACCCTGGTGACTCTCTGCTCTTTCACGTATCGACCGAAATGTCATGGATGGTATTGATTTTGTAGGAGTTTGGGAGCCAAAGTGCTCTCAGTTGAGTGTTCAGCTGTTTTCTGTCCGTTCAGTGGATGTTGACATTGCTCACAAAGGGCAAAGGCGATGTAGACCGACCGGCGGGACCAAGTGTTCGTTGTCCACGCAGCAATGAGAGACCTTAAGCAAGCCTTACAGAAAGTAGACAGGGTGAAGTAAAATCTTGACGTTAGCCATTGCACTACTTTAAGCAGGTGGTATTTCAGCGCAACATGTGTGTCTTATTCACCAACCACTTGATCATTTCACAGGTTTGCGATTGCAGAATTTGGTGCAAAACCAGGAAAATGCTACATTATTTGCTGCAGCTTGCATTTTTGTCTTTTTTCCCAAAAAGAGAGTGGGAAAAGGATTATTAGCTAATCAAAATCCATAATCTTTGCCTAAACTAATGAATCAATGTGAAATGAAAGTTCATAGAGGTTTAATGATACTATTGATTATATGATACTGAATATAATGTACAGTAGTCAACATTTGAAGTGGATCAAAACCTTTCATCAAAGTTGTCCTAAAACCTAAAACCAAAATGCGTTCTTGTCTTAAGACAACTATGATGAACTTTTTTGATCCACTTCAAATATTGGCTATTATATTTTGGGTGAATATTTGCTAGCCTAGTCCCCATAATGTCTGATTTTACCAGTATATTAGATTAAAATAAATGCATTATTTTACTGGATATGCACTTTTTCCATATTTCAAGTATAGCCATATGCAAAAATATGTACAGGTAATTGTATACTGTAAAAAAAAAGTTGTGTTGTGAATAAAACAAAGATTATCAGAGTACTAAAAAAAAAAAAAAAACTATTACTTGCGGTTTCTATTATTTGGTAAATAAGAAATCTCTTTGTACTTTTTTCAATGTAAACCATGATTATTTTTGAATTTTCATAGCAAAACTGGATATTGCCATAATATTTAAGAAAAGTTCGTTTTTTAAAAATCAGAACTCACACGGAAAAAAAAAGCTAAATTATTAATAATTTTCACAAAGAAATCACAAGTAACACATAGAATTAAAGATGAACATTTTACAGTAGAAAAAAATGAAATATTTTCTTGTAAAACATACTCCGATAATCTTACAACATTTTTACAGTGTGATTTAGCACTGCTCCAGCTGTATTTAGTGCATTGTCATTCTTGCCCGTGCAAACACATCCTGTTTCTATGCGAATGAGGCTTGTTATAAACTTACTTTATGCATTTAATTTATGAAAGGAATGATGGAGAAGAGTGTTATGACTGGGCATATTTCCAGACACACCATGTGGTCAAATGTAGGCCTACACTCTGTATTTTAAAGCTCTATTCAGGTGTTTAGGACCATAGTAGTGCACTAAAGTATGGCAGATAGTAGTAGTCTGCTTCTAGTTGGCATTCAGTACATTTTATTGCACGTTTACCCCATAAAGACAAACTTGGGTCAGCAAGCTGCTTAAGCAGCCATGCAAACTGAACAGGAGGGTGTTAAACAAACTCTGTCTAGTCTACTAACCACTTCCTCTAAAGGAATGATGGTTCTGTCCGCTATCAAGTGCCCTGGAGTATCAATAAAGACCCGCGGCTGAAGAGAAGCAGGAAATACGAGTGAGAGGAGGACACGGATGGGCAGGAAGTATAATGATGGGCTTTAACACACAGATCCTCCTCCGCTAAAACCCCTCTACGCTACAATCCTCCCCCCTTCTTCACCCTACGTGACAGAATTATAGCTATTACCAGAGACCCCGCTGCTCCACAAATGCAAATATCACACAGCTGTACTAATCGCACTGTTTAATTGTGCATTAAAAATTCATGAGTGATGGCACACATTTGTGTAATAACATCCACTTTAGCATCCTCCGGACTCCAGTGTTTACCATCACACATAGTGTTTCACAGCTACTTAGAAACTGTAGCTACTCAAGATACTCGCTGTTCCTCATTTAAAGTAGTTAACCACAGTCTAGCCAGAAGCTACACATTTGAATATGCAGCCAGCTGAAAGGTGAAGTGTGTGGGGATTCTTTTTGCATCATGTATGGAGATTGTCGAGTGTCTATATCCAAATGAGTGGATGGTTTTTAAACAATGAAAAACAGAAAAATTAACCATGGTTTTACTACAGAAACCATGTTTCTTTTGCAGTAAAAAAAACTAAATAAAAAAATTAACAATGTTTTAATAATCGTGGTTTAACCATGATTTTAGTGAATACAAAAATAATCATGGTTTTACTACAGGTAACCATGGTTTAATTAAGATTTTTGTAGTAAAACCATAGTAACTGCAAAATTAACTATGGTTTTACTACAGTAACCATGATTTAACTATGTTTAGTTATTGTTGTAAAACTAATTAGCAATGGTTTTAGTACAGTAATATATTTACTATGATTTTTTAGTAAGCCTTAGTAACTACAAAAATAACCATGTTTTTATTACATCATTTGCAGTAAAACTATAATAACTAGCGCAGTAAGGAGTGTTTGAACTGTTTTTTTTTTTGTAGAAAAACCATAGTAACTGCAAAATTAACCATGATTTTACTACAGTAACTATGGTTTAACTATGTTTTTGTAGTAAAACCATAGTAACTGCAAAATTAACCATGATTTTACTACAGTAACTATGGTTTAACTATGTTTTTGTAGTAAAACCATAGTAAATGCTAAATTAATCATAGTCCTACAGCAACCATAGTTGTTTAACTATGTTTTTTTTGCATTAAAAGAACATATTAATTACAAAATCAACCATGGTTTTACTATAGTATGTGTACTGACTCGTTTGTACTGTGAGGGTAATAATTAGGCATGGTTTTATAAAGAACAAATTTTGTTTAAAAAAATATAATATTTTTATTGGCTTTTATTGTCACTGTATTGAATTCAAACAAAAGAAGGTAAAACATGGATGGAGACAGTCTAAGCACAGACGTGAGCATGCCTATATGAGTTCTCCTGGCTTTTGTTTGCAGTTGTTTTGTTGACTTTGTGGAGGAGTCTTTATTTTTCATTTCCCAAACTGCAGGTTCGAGTCTCCCAGCTGTAACGCGAGAGGTGGATTAAAATGGAGAGAAAAAGAATTTAACAAGCATGCAATTAGCCACTAAATGAATGTCATACAACAAGCGAATGAAAAGTCAATAGCTTTGCAACAATGATGCCCTCATTCGCTAATGGCCAAGACAATTGAGATCTTCCTCTTTGCTTGTCACTACTTCAGCAAATCACCGTGTATCAGATAGTAGTTGCCCTTTTGGGTCTATAAACATTAACCCCAGTTTATTCTACGAAACTTTGAGTTTAATTAAGGGCCATTTTTACTCTTGTGCATGACTGTATTCGCTGTCTGAAAGTGAATAGATGTCATGACCTAGTGGTTAGCGTACATGCTTTGATGCATTGAGCTGTAGTGCTGATAAAAC